AAATAACTCTCAATTTAAGATGAGAAATTATTACAGAAAAACAAACTCAACAACCTTAAAGAATAAGTGTCATTCAGAAGATCCACGAGATAAGAGGAATATTATTTTAAATTATTATGTTTATATAAGAAATAAGGATGACATTGGAATGATGGAAGATTAACTAATCAACTTTTTTCATGTCATAAAACTTCTAACTCTCAAAAGTGGATTAATGCCATGTAAGAGGAGTATAAATTCTAGACAAGATAATATAGTTTGAGAACTTATCCCATTACTTGAAGGTGAAAATCTTATTTTTTGCAAATTAATATTTAAAACCAATATGGATGCAAATGGTGATGTTGATAGGTATAAGTCATGTCTTGTATCTAAATGATATACTCATAAAGAATGCATTAATTTTGTAGAGACTTTCTTTTTCTGTTTCATTAAAATACTGTTTTAGGATAATCATGATACTTATGGCTCATATTTAATCTTGAGTTACATAAGTAGGATTTCAAAATGGTAACATTGATGAGATGTTTTACACGGTGCCATTATAAAATTGTGTTTGATGATGCAAAATTAATGATATGAAAATTAAGGAAATCCATTTATGAGTTTAAGTATGACTCTCATTAATTGTATAATAAATTTCACCAAGTGATATCTTATTTGGTTTTGAGATAAATTTGATTGATAATTGTATATACTATAAGTTCTGTGGTAGTAAGCCAAATAATACCCCTTATTGATAAAGGAAACAAGTTTAGACTTGATCAATGCCCTAAGGATGATTTTGAAACTAAGAAAATGTAAAAAGGCTTTTTATGCTTCAAAATAAATAAAGAATTTAATATATATTCAAGTTTATACACATTCAGACATAGCATATAATTTTAGGATATTAAGCAGATATTTAAGCAATTTGGGTATGGATCATTGGATAACAGCCAAATTGATTCATTTTAGTGGGATTTTGTAACTTTAAAAATATTTGTTTGTTTTAAACACAATTTCATTTACTTCAGTTTAAGGATGTTTATTTTAAGGTTATATTGTGCAGAAATAAATTTTGTTTTGGTTTATCCATATTTTGATTTTGGTAAAATTTGATCTCACTAGTGTTTAAAGAGGACTAGTTGAAAATAGACATGTGCAGTTCACATTGCATGTAATTTCCATGCTACGCTTCAGGATTGATCTATGTCATTTGACTATGTTTGTATACATGACCATTGATAGGTCTAGTCATGATTGGTATGGCAAAGTTCGTTTTGAATTTATATGGGTATAGTTGATGGACGAGATTGTTATAGAATACCTATTGTATGATAACATGTTTTGAGCTCATAAGATTCTGCATTTATGAGGAAACATATGTTGCTCAAGTGGAAGATTATTGGATTAAAATTCATGATTATGAGCACATATTTATAATGTATATTGTTTTCATAAAATATGACATAAATTAAGTGACCAATTATTTTATAATGTCATAAGGTATTAAAAGTGTTATGGAAATAAAAGTGTAGATACTATTACAATTGTATTTATAATTCAATGAGGGACAGAGTTACAAGTACAAACAATAATTGATTATTAAATTAGCTATAGAGAGGGGTTATGGTCCCCAAGAAATAGATAATCTCATATTTACTCTTATCCCCATCATAGAGTTTATATTTAAGGGAATTCTATCTTCTTGGAATATCGCAACCAAAGAAAGATTCAATGATTTCAACCAAACAATTAATTCATGTACGCTTCCACATTCTAATATTTTATTCTTGATGATTTGACATGATTAAATCTTGATTAATTTTTATATTTATTATGATTTTAGTTGTAACACTCTCTAGCCATCCTATTATCTTTATCGAGCTTAGCTTTGGTTGTGACATCAATGTCAAAAACCTTGGAAATGGTGACAATGTCTTTGGCTTCTCGGTAACTGGAGGATCGAACGAGACGTGGTTAACTTCATGCTACTTAGGAAATATAACCATCTTTTATGACTAATGATATTAGTTCTACTTATTCATCATGGGAGACATGTTTAAATAGCACTAAAATTTGCTTTTAAATTATTAAAATATACTCATGCAAAATAATTATGTTAGCACTAATTAGAAAAATAAACCTAGTGTAAAAAGAAAAAACAGTCATTGTATCATAAAAGAACCATTATTTAAAAGCGATTTTATCTTGATTGGTATGATCCTGGTATAAACATTGCCTCGAAGGTTAACACAAAAACTCTAATATTCATACATCTAAATAAAGAAGGTATAATCAATTGGTATTGATCTTATAAGAAAATTAAATTGGTCGGAAGAAAAAGTTTGATTGGAAATTAAAAATGAAAAAAAAAGTAGAGATATAAAGGAGAAAAATACACTTTTTCCATGTATAAAATGAGAGATTTAACATTCCATCCATAGGAGTTGAATAGGGCAAAACAATAAAAACTACAAAGATGATTTCCAAAATTCATGTAACATTCATAAATAGATTAGACATTGATTTAATATTTCTACAATTAATGTACAAAAACATAAAAATAAGATTTTATTGTTTAAATATATTTTTGATAAAAAAAATTGTCTAAAAGAAACACTACATGTTATAAAACTTGTTAACACAAATCAAGCTAAGTGAATAACGATGTATGTATATTGATTCTTAATCTCAATTGCACAATTAAAGTAAGAAAAATATTATTTTTAAACATTTTTAATAGTATATTCTTAATCAAAATGGAATTATTCACTTTACATCACAAGTATTTCTCACTTTCTCTTGTTTTACATTTTTTTAAAATTCTGATTAAAGAAATGTAAAAATATTTTAGAATTGAAAATATTCGTTGTCTTTTTATATTTTTTTATTTTAAAAAAAAATTGAACTAAATATTATATTTTAAATTATAATATATTGATAATGTTGTACCTCCTCCAGATCTCTTTTGCAAATCACACATTTGTCGTTATATTTTCACTTATTGAATCTTGAAGCCTTAAAAGTTTCATATCCTTCGGTCAGCTACAATCTCTTGATATGATCATTGATTGGCGCACGTGATCTAAAGACTAAATCTATTATCTCACAACTAGATTTATTTACCATGCCAATTAACATATAGTCATTATCACAATATGTGTGGCACCAACATTAAAGATTTATATATAAATCATTATGTAGACTAGAGACGGGGTGCTCTCTCTTGATCTCTCATTATTCATTATTGCTTTCAACTTATATGTTCTCTCTTTTCCCTCTAGAGAACAACCGTATGTAACTTTTCATCTAAACTAGGAGTGGAGTACTAAAAACTATTACAACCTCATTTCTTTTATCGATAAATAATTATTGTTATATTCAACCTTATCATATCACTTAAAAGACACGTTTCTTCGACTCATATATCATAAAATTTATAAACTTAATTATAATTTTTAAATGTATTATTATATATTATTTATATAAATAAAATACATTTCTTTTCCTTTTCACTTCTTGATCAAAAAATATTAATTTTTTCGTTCAATTTCTTTTTTTATTAATTGAACTATCAAAGATATAAATACAACTTTCTTTTCCTTTATCCGAACATAGGGTAACTAAAATCCAATCACCCACTGAATGATGTATTTAGAGAATGTCCATGTATAGCAATTAAAAAAAAGTTAAAAAGAAAATAGAAATTTGAATTTCACAATAACTTTCGATGAAATTGATATAATCAGACTGAGTTATAATAGATTTTATAGTTAATTGTATTATACATTCTCAAACTATGACTATCATTTTAAATTGATCCCTAAACTTGTGAACATTCCAACTTTATACATAAACAATGACTTTCATTCTAAATTAGTCTCTCAATTTTTTTCATATTTCAAATTCATCTCCAAACTATAATCCTCATTATAAATTGGTCCCTCAACTTTTAAACATTCCAATAATGCCTCTCTAAACCATTCAAAAGTTTAGGGGTAAAATTAAAATATTCAAAAGTTTATGGACCAATATAGAATAAAGGTTATAATTTTGGGATGACTTTGGAATATTTAAAAAGTTTGGAGATCAATTTTAAATGAATGTTACAATTTAGAGATAAAATTAAAAGTTTAGGGATAGTTTAAATAAGGATCATAGTTTGAGGATGTATAGTGCAATTAACTCTAGGTTTTATATATTATATCGAAAGGCATGGTTTTGGGGCGGGGGAGGGGGCAACCCGTTAAATTTATTCATCCACCACAAAGTTGAATTTAATAATTACCGTAGACCTTATAATAACTCTACCAGTGTACGGGACCTAAAATTATAGTTTTACTATTAATTACCTATCCATTTCAATTGGTGGACAATATCAACCGGGTTTTCCTTCATCTTCTTGTATATTTAATTATTATTTAAAATTTAACATTACAATATAGTTGTACTACATTTAAATGGTTGTTATTAGTACACTAAATATAAATGAAAAAACGAACATTTCGTTGAAATTAAAAAATTTAAGTTTGAATTCTATAATTGTCATTCTTGATGAACAATTTGTAAAATCTTATATATATCTCAATCGAGTCTTAGATATAGATTAACCTTGGATTGAATGGACCACCCCTTATATATGTGTGTGAAAAAAACAATAAAATATATTATTAGATCTGATATTATTATTTTTATTATTAAAATTTGAGAAAAGTGAACATATCAGTCGACCTTAATCCTAAATGAGAATATTAGTTTTTCTAAAGATTTAGAATTAGAATATGAATTTGAACAACTGTGTACGCTTAATATATATATATATACATTGTCAATAAAAATATTTTAGATATATACTATTTTATAAGCAATTAAAATAATAAAAAATTGAAAAAATTAAAATTAGATTGTCTACTGTTATAATCAATTAATTAATAGCTAATAGCATATGTGTACAAAAAAATTGTATAATAAACCATATAATTTTGTTGTACTTAATCATAATCAATCTGCCAGCCACCAACTTTCTCTTCGTTTCCATTCCAATTCTTTACTCCCAAAATCTTTTATAATGGGATTATGTCTATTCAAACAACCAAACCCACCTATAACAACTAATATCACCAAATTCCACCTTTTTTCCCCTATCTTTTTCATATGTACACAGGCCAAATAAAACCTGGAAAGCAAAGAATATGCCAATTGTCAAGCCAAAGAGCACCCAAAATACCCTATTGTTTCCACTTCAATAATAAGATTTAATCAACCCCAAATTGTAGAGATTCCTTCTAACTATGTTCCCAAGTGTTAAAACTGCCCCACCTACACCTACACCTTTCTCTTCCCCATCTGCCTTTTCCTGATATAGCAATGGCAATCCCTTCACCTTTAAGTTCCCTAAGCCTATCTTTTGTCTTACGGAATCGATGATTTTGGGGTCTGCTACGTTCCCGAATGCATCGGTAACGTAAAACACGTTTAGAGCCATGTCGCTTATGGTTGATATCTCGGCCCTTGTCACGTTAAGACCGTTCTCCCTAAACGTTCTTGTCACGTCTGCTAATAGACCCTGCCTATATGTTGTGCATAACTCCAGCCATATGCCCTGAAATCAGAAAACAAATGGCACGTGTTTCGAACATTAGATAGAGATTCGATAGTAGAATTGAGAAATGAGTTGGTATAGAAATTTATACCTCAGATGCTCTTCTTTCAACTGCAGCTTGCAAGCATTGAATCACACGGTGTCTTTCCGGTTCTGAACTAATCGGAGATCCATCTGTGTGCCTAATATAAAATTCCTACAACAATAAACAAGTTTGATTAAAATCATGTAACTAAAACCTTAAAGATTGACTAAATGGTGAAACAATTAAAGTACCAGATATGCTTTATCCACAGTTGTGTTGATGGTAGCATGGAACACAACATATTGCATATCGATCAGAGTGCAAACGACATCGAACAGAAGCTTGGTTCTATCCCTGCACTGCACATTCACAACCGAATAACCCCTTTCGTCCCAATTTTGCACGGTGACCACCACAGGTGAAACTACCTTGTGTTGCAGAATAGGCGTCCTCTCATAGTCACGATCTGCAAACATCATTTGATGCAACCGTCTCTCGGTGTGGGTTAAGGCCGTGGAAACCAAAGTTTTCGCGCCATGAATACCGTTGTCTCCTTTCAAAAGATTCCTCAAACATGCTTCGATTCTGTGGATTTGTTCGGAGTCCTCGATCGGAGATCCTGATTCACTGTCTTTTACATAAATTAAAGAAGCAACTCGACCATTGTGAGTCCATACTTTAGCGTCTACCACATCGCATTGCAGATCGGCTAAAACTGCAAATACTTCTGATAAAAGACCGACTCGATCCGTTCCATTCAATTCTAACGCTGTTAGACCATTGAACTTGTGGGTTCTATCAGGATCAGTGGTCTCAAGGGACTGTATTAAAGCAATACAAAGATCAGTTTAATGGAGAATTGTGCCATTACAAAGGGCTTTGACATTAACATAAAATCAACTCCAACAATTACCTGCTCAATGCAACTGATAACGCTCTCATCAGTTAATTTGTTTCCGTTTAAATCAGTCACATGGAAAACTGCAAAAAAACCCCAGAAAGGGAATGTTAGAAACAGTAAAATTCAAATGAAAAATCAAATGTTTTTGAAGCAAAAAAGCGATTTTACCATCCATGAACCACTGGCCATCAGATGAAACGTAAGCCTTTTTAATGGAAAGATTCAGATCTGCTAAAACCTGAACGGCGTCCAACAAAATCCCGTATCTTCTAGCACTGTCAACCTTAGAAAATCGGAAAGAGTCAAACGCTTTGGAAAAATCAAACGAAAACAAGAGAAACTTAAGTCAATAATTCTGGCCAATAACATAAAAAAAGAATAAGAAGAAGAAGCAACGGTTAGGGCGGTGCGTTCCGATTAGAGAGGTTTCGTGGAAGCTAACCTTGACCAGAGTCGCGGTTGGGCAAACGGAATTGTCAATAACCACCCTGTTAAAACAAAATTTCCGTTAGAAAAATATCAAATTTCTGGAGAATTATGAAGAAAACAAGAGAGAAAAACTCAAAAAAATAATCGAAAAATCAGTATATATTATTGAATTGTACGGAAGAGACGAAGATTTACAAACCTGGGAGTAGTCATCCTTATCACAAGCTTCTCATATTCATCAAGACAACTATGCCACTCCATATTTCTGACTTTTTCGTCGCTTGAAGAACCCAGATGAATATTGCAAAAACTTGAGTGACCAGTACGGATAAAAAAAACCCTTTTTATATTTCTGGAATTCAATCGAAGAAGAAAACCAAATAGAAGCAAACGCTATTAACGACTTTCCCACCGAACTTTTCTTCGTTTTCGTCTCCAGAATAAATAGATTCAAACCGCCTTAGACATAACAGCCCCCTTCTCCGATGTTCCATATATATATATTGCGTTCATTAATTAATATCTTCTTCACTTTTGGTAATTATTTTTCTTTTTAAAAGTTTATAGTAAAATGGAAACTACGCCAATATTAGGGGATTGTCTCAGGATATATGCGAGTTAATATACGATTAATATATGGCGTTATTAGATACATTAAAAGATATTTAACAAATTTAGTTTAGCGTTACTGGAAATGTTGAGTAATAATAATGTAGTATGTCTAAATTATGAAGAAATATTAAAAAATTTGGCAATCGACAAACTTGTCGGTTTGTGTCGATTCAAATTAAAAATGTATCGATCCATATCAATATAACAGATAAAAATATGACAAAACCGGTCACGAAAAGACAATACCGGTAAAGCGCTACCGGATATATTTAAAGTGTCGATACTTTAATATAAGTATCGACACTTTGTGAATTTAAAAGAGAAACAGTTTTAGCGCCTATAAAGTGTCGATACTTTATAAAAATGTATCGATCCACAATGATATAACAAGTAAAAATATGACAAAATCAGTATCGAAATGATAAAACCGGTAAAGCGCTACCGGATATATTAAAAGTGTCAATACTTTAATATAAGTATCGACACTTTATGAATTTAAAAGAGAATCAGTTTTAGTGCCTATAAAGTGTCTATACTTTAAAAAAGTATATCGATCCAAAACGATATAACAAGTAAAAATATGACAAAACCGGTATCGAAATGATAAAACTGATAAAGCGCTACCGGATATATTGAAAGTGTCGATACTTTAATAAGTACTTGTAATAAATTATCGATACTTTCAAAGAAATATGTAATTATCCTATCAAAAGTATCGACACCTAACATAAAAGTATCGACACTTGGGTAGTTGTATCGATTAAATATAAATAATATATCCGATGAAAATATAAAGGTCATAGCTAAATATCCTCTGAAAATAGATAGAACGGACGAATTTTTGAAATCGAAGCGTAATTGTTGCTGCATTTCAGAATGCATTTCTAAAGCGAAGTTTGTTTGTTTGTTGCTGCAGTCGAATCGAAAAGTATGTTGTCGAAACCCTAGTTTTTTATTATTACAGTAATCAGAAATAGGGTTTTTATATTTTGTTTGGGGTTTTGGAGTAAAGAAGCATTTGAGACCGATTACATGTAGAAAGTGATATTCAAGGTAAAATATAAATATCGATACTTTTATTAAATATTATAGGTAGAAAATGATATTATAGGTTGTATAAATGTGCCGACACATTTTGTAGTGGCCATTCAAATTCTTTTGAAAAAAACCGTTTTACCACAAGAGTAGTTATCTATATTTGTATATTGAATAAAGTGTATGTAACAAGTATTTGATTTGATTTGCGTAAACTGATATATGAAGGAAAATGGAGTCAATGGGTGGAAAAATTGTTGGTGGCGCAGATGACTTTGAAATTGAGGTCGAGACTCGAAAGCAACCAAAGGGTGGATATATGTACTTCTAGTAAGTATCAATGTCTTTTTGTTATTATTGTTGAAATGATAATTGGATTAAAGTATTTAAGAACGTTTATGCCAAAGGATGAAGGAAGGTGGCAACACATCGGCTCGGTATGTAAATTGAAATTGACATTGAGTATTATTTAGCGTTAATGTATTGATTAAGAAACGTTTATGCTTAATATTAGGTGAGAAATGATGTGTTGGAGAAATGGAATTCGATGAGTGATGCTGATAAGGAACCTTACATCGCACAGTCAAAGATGGATAGTGAAGAATACAAAGAATGGAGGAAAGCACATGAAAAGAAGGTATTCATTAAACTTGTAAATACGTTGATACAAAATATATAAGAACTATAACATTATATATTGTTAAAAAATGTAGGAAGTGTCGACAAGGTGCATCATTAAAATGGTGAATTCATTAATTAAACACCTTAAGGAGAAGGGTCACTTGAATGTGCTGAGAGAAATGGCGTTTGGATCATTGGTAGGAGTAAGGGATCGACCTATTCGGAGGGAATTGTGTCGATCCTTGATGGCGCATGGTGATTTTTCATTTCCTCTCGGGATCCCATGTGTTGCAGCCGTATTGGGGGTAGAAAATGAAGGCAAAAGTGTTGTAGAAGTCTCTAAGAGTAATAACTAGAAAGCACTTGCCTCCAAATATGGTTTGAAGCAAAAGGTTACATATGTTGAACTTGAAGAGGAAATCAAAAGTGGATCTTACGGGGGGATGAGCTGAAGGCCAGAGTTCTATTATACCTTGTCGGGATCTTTCTTTGTCCAACGGGTGATACGTCAACGAACAAGGACTATATGAAGCTCATTTGAGATGAAGGCTTGAAGGGTCAATTCAATTGGGTTGAATATGTCCATTCGAGATTAATTGAATCAATAATCACCTTTAAAAAGGGCAGCCAGAGATACCTCAAAGGGTGTATAGCAATCTTAGAGGTAAATGAGTTGAAGAACTTTTTTTGTGTTTTTATATAAAATGATAGTATAGTTATTATATAAAATTATAAATTTTATTATAAATGCAGGTTGCACTGTTCGATTTTTTGTCGGGCTGTGAGGCAGTGCCGGCTTATGAAAGAACCGGAGTGACACGCATCCGTGCATGGGGGAAGGAAGAGGTGGTTAGAGTGATGGCGAAGTTAAAGTTGGATAGACCGAGAAAGCAAGAAAGGGTAATATATGTAATTAAATAATATTAAGAATATAATCAATGTCTTAATATTGTAATTTAATTTTGAAGGTTATTAGCAAGGAGGTAGAGGAGGAAGAGGAGAAGAAATAAGAGATAGTTGTATTGGGGGATGACGGTGAGGGAAAACAGAGTAACTTCGACATTTTGATGTCTGAATTGGCTGATATCAAGAAAATCCAATTTGATATCATGCAAATACAATCAAGAGTCGAAAAGAAACTTGAGAGAGTCAAAGAGAAACTTGAGAGAGTCGAAGAGACACTTGAGAGGCATAAGGGGGATGTGGAAGGAAAAATAGTGGACGGAAAAATAGATGGAGTAGTGAAAGAAGTAGAGGTGTTGAGGGGTGAAGTGGTGAAAGAAGTTGAGGTGTTAAGGGGTGATCTTAAGATGGTGACGGGTGAAAAAATTGATGGGTGGTGAAGGAGGTTGTGGAATTGAGGAGTGGACTTACGGGGGTAAAGGGGGTGGTTGATCAATAGTTGATGAAGGGGAAAAATTGAAGGGTGAAATAAAAGAGTTGAAGAGCTATGTAGAGCAAAAATACGATGAACTGAAAAAATATGAAGAAGAAAAGAGGGAGGAGGAAGAAGAAAAGATGGAGGAAATGAGGAGGAAGGATGTCGATGTGATCTATAGACCGGAGAGTGTTATAGATGCAAATTTGGATTTGAATGTCCTGCACCCCAGAAGAAGAAGCAGAAGGTAAGTTGAATAAAAGAAAATTTAATTTGATATTTATCATGTTGTTGTGACAAAAATTTGTATGCAAAATTATAGGTTGAAAAAGCGGATATTCCAAGCGGAATTGATGACATCGAAGCTGCAATTTGTGATTATTTATGGAATAGTGGGTTAGAATCGGGGTAAGTGAAATATATTTATTTGTGAGTGATATTTAAATATTTCATGACAAGATATTAATCCTAATGATTCATACAAATATTTTGTAATCTGAATGGGAAATCAGTTCTCTAGTGTATACGACGTTGCAACGTTGAAGCCTACAGAATGGGTTGGCGGTGTGGTAAGTAGAAAGTACAAAATGTTAAAACCTATTGAATATGTTCTGATTGTGTAATTAATTTTGTTAGGTTATTGATTTGCTCACCTGGACAGTATGCTACGATTTGAAAAAGTCACTCCGGAGGATTGGCTACCTTCCATACCACTTAGCGGTGAGTTAAATTAATAAATGTTGAAAAGTAGTGTTATAGACGGTAAATTAATAATGATTGTTGCGTAATTGCAGCAACAGGCGTTGCATGCCAACAACAAAGAAAGTGTTGAGAGTATTGCTACCTTTTGGGGTCCCATATTGGATAACTATGTGAAATTCACCGACTGTGAGAAGGTAAGACACCATACCAATTGCAAATGATGTTTTCGGATATAGAATGTTGAATATTGTCAAATTAGGTGTGAAATTTGTTGCAGATCATGATCACAATAAACTACCTTAATTCACATTGGTATCTGTTGGTGTTGGATATGGTAGATCGTGTTGCAACAATATATGATAGTCTGTTTACATCTGAAGCAGCTAAACAGAGAGTGAAGGATGCTAAGAGATTGGTATGTATGTATGTATGAAAGGACATTATGTAAATTATAATGCATAATTTGTTTGGACCATAACTTTATATTTTTTAAAGCAGATTAAAATATTAGATATTTATAATAAGAAGCGCATTTGGGTAGAATATTGTGGATCTCTAGGAAAGTTCCCCTTGAAAACTTTCAAATTTGTGGAGCATAAGAAGAATAAGCAATTGAAAGGGTATGAGATGTTATCATAAATAGAAAGCTTAATTTATGCAGGTTTCATAATTGACATGTGTGGTTTTCAAATTTTGTAACAGATATGATTGCGGCATGTATGTGATGATGTGGATGGAATCGATCAATTCTAGGGCAACTGGTGATTTTGTAAGTGGAATTAAAAATTCATTTATGGTTAAATTGTTAAAAGTCGTAGATTGAATGCTGTGGTTTACAATACTTAGCGTTCTGACAATTTGAATATAGGTTGTTGGAAAGTGGGATTGATCGTGAATATTAAACTATCTCGTAAGACACAATCAAAATCAACGAAGACAGGAGATAACAAAAGCTGCCATGAGACACAAGAATAACAAAATGATGCAATGATGTAAATGTAGGGTTATTTTGTATAAGATTTATAATTTTGTATACGATTTATAATTTTGTATGTGAATATAATTATGTATGAGATGAGAAAAGTTAGCAGTAGGTTG